GTCCCCCCGTGGAGGCGACGGCGGTGGCCACCGGGAGACCTCGTTCACGGTCGAGCCGCCCACCCTCCTTCGGGACGACGACTCGCGCCCGCGTGCTCAGTCTGTGGCGACGATTGGTGAGGCGCACGGCACTCTTTAATAGTTAGGTTTCCTTCGTTATTATTACTCTTCCTCATTGGTTCCTTTTAAACAAATGATTGTTCTTAACTGTTATCTTCATGTTTCCTTTCCCTTTGGCATATACTCATAGTGAGAATGATAATGGAAAAGACAGAATTATTTGTCTTGTATCTTGTCTCTGTTCCTAACTTCCCCGCCAATATTTTTGTTCCTTAGTTCGTTTGTTTTTACTTGTTTTACGTCGAAAAGTTTGCAGTTTCTTAACGAAAGAGTAATGGCTGAAGACAGTGAGCTAGACGCATCTAGTTTTACCATTACAGTTTTAGTGTTCTTTCCCAGGAATGATACAGTGCACTTACACAGTATCACAGCGATTCAGTTTTGCTTGTTTGCTGTGTCAGAGCTGTAGTCATCATAATGCTATGGTATTGTTATCTTGACCCAGTATACATAAGGGCGACCATGGCCTGTCTGATGTGAATGATGCTGGTAGTCTGCCTGCTGTCTGTGTCATCATGTATGTTCACAGCTTTTGAGAGTTAGTCCAAGAATGAAATCTCAGGAAATGAGGAGGAAGGTGAGAGAAATTACGTGTTTTCCATGTTGCTGTCGTTTCCTTTGGTGGACTCTTTAACGTCAGGAATGATATCTGTACATTTATTGCTTTGAAGTTCGGGTAAGCTATTTTTCAAGAATTATCTAGATGTTTTCTATTAATCATCCATTCTTTCAAACATTGTTCTATCAAGACATCTCTGTCGTTTCTTTAATTTGCTCTCTTTATTTACATAAGGTTCCGGGTGTTTGCTATTATCTTGTTTATCACTCTTACACTTCAGTCCTATTCATAATTATGAATACCAATATTACAAGTACATATAGCGGTTATTGTCGCAGTCTAAGTTGTCATCGTAAATTATTCTATCATTCTTAATTACCAAAACATTTTAAAATCTATGCGTTTTTTTATATACTTGTATGCGTCTTCATTAAGCACAATGACAGCTTACTCTCATAAAGTCAAAAGAATAAGTCATCAAAAGGATTTATATACCTCAGTCAGGGACATGTCCACAAGGCAATATCCTCACTCAGAGCTCTGTTATTCTTACATACTTCAACCTTACCATTATCTTTCTTCCTTTCTGTTTGTTTCCGGCTTGAATGCTGTTCTTAGTATCTTTGTTTCTGAGAATATAATATATACATATATTTTCTTTTCGTGGGGGGTAAACTTTATTTGCCTTTATCACCTTTATTTTTAGTGACGTTAGTGGCATTCATATCACTATTGCTGCTATTGCCATGACTTCTTCGTTTTCTTTTTGTTCTTCGACTACTACTACGACTCCTACTATTATTACTATTACTGCTACGACGATCACTCAACTACTTCTAATAATGATGGTGATGCATCATCATTATCATTAGTATCATCACCACAATAGTTGCTATGATCTCCATTAGTGTTATCTCGATTTATAACATCATCCTTATTAGTACCCTCCGCATCATTAGCAGCGCCTCCCACTCTGTCTACGAGCGTATTATCTGAAATCACCATCACAAGAGTAGGCTTCTTTGCCCAGGCTTCCTCGCCTCTACATGGCCGTCCTTGTTCTAACCGCAGGTCGTCATTCCCCTTCAGACGGGACGCTTCGCGCCGCCTCGGAGCCCCGCGAGGCGCCCACGGGTCCGGGCGCGGGCGGCGACCGGCGGCCCAACGGCTGGGCGAGCTTCGTGGGTGATGTGCCGGAGCCGCCGCCGCCGCCGCGTACCGCCACGTTGCGCAGGGAGAAGAAAGTGACCATCCTAGACGAGGCCGTCCACAGGTTATGATGCTGACCGACTCCTCCGCTGCCCAGCCCTTCCTCCGCGCTCAGCCACGGCGTTGCCCTCCGCCCGCGTCCTGCCCCCGGGGAGCCGGGGGCGGTCGCATGTCTCGGGCGAGGCGAAGCCCCAAACCACGATGCGTCTGGCCGTCGAGTTTGCTCTCAGTGACGATGTTTCCCCCCCTCCCCCCATGGAAACTGATACTAATTGACGCTGGAGAGTGACGTTTCATCTCCTTCTAAGGATTCGCCTCCCACAAAGTCGGCCTCGAAGGGGCTCGCTCAATCGCAACACGATTGTATCCAAAGTTCAGATTTTTTCTCTCCTTTCTTTTCTTTTCCTTTGCCCTTTCCTTTTTTCTTTTTTTTTCTTTTATTGCTGTTGCCGTGTCTCTGGACTCTGCCAATTCACGGCGCTATACTTTCTCAACTCTCTCTACTCTCTACCAACACGCATAATACATGAACAGTTTTAGTGGCATTCTTGATACAATTACTAGATAATTAGTTACGAGTCAATTACACTCCGAAATACAATAATACACAGA